AAAAAAAAAAAAAAAAAAAAAAAAAAAAAAAAAAACACGAAACAGAACAGGATCGTTGGCCATTGGCAGCGGCAGCTGTACAGGGAAAATTTTTTGGCAAAAGGGTATCGTATCCATGCTGCTGGTCTTGCATCCGTAATAAACAGGAAACAATATACCGAGAAATTAACAATCAACTATAGTTGGATCCACGACAAAACCCAAAACACCCCCAACGCGTACAAGACAACCCATAACCGCTCATGCATACTCATCGCACTACTCATGTAATATGCAGCTCCCATGTAATTGCACGCCACAGTATTGCTACTCCTTCGGCCGTAGGAAGCGTCGAGTTGCCGACCCTGCGGGCAACTGAACTCGAGAGATGCCGGGCAACTCCGCACCAAATTATGGCAAACATCTTGACACGGGAGGATTTCCTTGTATGGCCCCGGTTTGATTTGCTCATCGATAATCGAGTTACGTGATTGATTCGATAGATAGGACTTGCGGTCTGCATGTTCCGGGTCGAGTGAAGTGCCGTTGATGAAGTCTTGCCCGGCGTTCCGAACTCGCAGGAAAGGGTCGCTGCTAGAATAGTCCTCGCAGCGGGGGATGGTTACTGAGCATAGCCAGTCCTTGTACGCTTGAGAACAGTTGCTGCAATTAACGGCCAGGGAGTACCTGTTGTAAGGGGATGCATTGCATGGGACCTGCTGCAGCGAGTAAGTAAAGTTTTTCCATAACGAAGAGGCGTGATCATCGTATGTTTTCTGTAGATCTGCTTTCTTCATGGACGGATTGGACGGCACGGCATATGCGACTTCGGAACAAAAGGACAGACCGAATATGATAGCACAATTACCGTCTATTTAAGTCAGCAACTGCATATTTCGGAGTGTCAAACGAATTCTCACCAGCTTTGGTTGTAAACTGTTTTGGTTGCCAAACCTTTCCACCACCCCCCAGAATTCTATTACCAGAATCAGTCGAGTTTCCATCCATTGCTAGTATTGCCAAATAGGTAGAGCTCTGGTTTAGACCCTTGGCGTAGAGCAGCTCCTTGGGATGGTTCCCGGGGCCTATATCCGTCATGTTCGTCTCAACATTATTTCCCTTAATCTGCGCGTTCTTCTGAAGGGCGCAATAAGATTGCTCCAGGCCCGTGATGGCTGTATCGTTAAGGTTGTTGACAAATATCGTATACGGTGGTTTCTTCAAGTTCATCCATTCATCATAATTCTCTTGGGTTCTGTTGGAGAGTGATAGGTTGCCTGTTGTAAAAAGCGCCGAGTTCACATCTGTATCGACAAAGAACAGGTTCGGCTCAAGGCTAACACGATGGAAGAATGTATCCGTAGACGCTGCGATTTGATACGAGTAGGACCCTGAATAATCCTTCGAATCCGGTGCAGATACCCCAATATAAACGGTCTCGTCGTTATTCCATGTCATGTTCAAATAGCCATCCACGGATGTTTTATGATCATCGTCGTTGCCGGGCGCTGGCTTCTCTGTCGAGCGAGAAACATGGATGCTCAACTGTGGCAGTTCGGGGGCTTCACCTGTAATTATCGTATTGAGATCCGGTTTCTGGCAAGTAGTCAAAGAGATATAAACCGCATTATCGCCTCCTTCGCTGATAGGTTCTTGCTTAATCCGATTGTCACTCCCCGTAACATTCGCCGGTAGACTAGACAAAGTCGTAGTGCCATTCGATTCGCCGCGATATTTTTCCGCCTCGAAGTAATACCACTGCGTCGCCCCCATTTTGATATCATTCGACTTGAACTCATTATTCGCGAGAGAATATGAATCCCCCGCAGGCGCTCTCCGAACAACATCTAACCCCAACGCCTCTGTATCCTTATCCCCGCGGATCTCCAGACCATTATGCGACCCAAGCGCGAGCTGAATCTGCGCGCTATTGTCACCGAATATCAAGGTCTCATTCTGGTTTTCAAGAACCACCAAGCCGTTGGCATGGACGTGAGGGGCGGAAACACTGACGGCGAGGGCGAACGTGGCGAGGAAGGTTGCGCTGACAGTTGCAGCAAAGCGGCACTGCGGGAGTGAGGGATTATATAGGCGCATGGAAGTTTTCGTTTCGGTTTAAATGGCGAGGCAATTGCGGAACGCAAGCATAGACGAAGCAGACGAATACGTGAGGGGAGAGCTGTGATGTGGGACTGGCGAAGCGACAGCCAAAAAGAAGCAAGTTAAATCGGGAACAAGCAGACCAGATGCGGCGGAAATTCTTCGTTAGGTTCCAGAGAGGGTCTTCTTTGACATCGGTTCAATTGAATGTCGCATTTCTGGGAGTTTGGTCCAAACTGAAATTGTCACTTACTCGATTGGCGTTCCCTGCTTTAGTTTATACCTGCGCCACAAGTGGATCGTTGCCCAGCCACACGTCGCCCTATAATGGTCCATAAATAGTATCGTCAAGGAACATGACTGAAAACGCTCAAGAACTTTTATATTTCTTTTTTTTTTTTGCCTATGCAAGATTACTAATGTAGTCTATAGCTAGTGAGATATACGGATTATTATACGAACAGGGTTCCTTAAAAGGAAAGCCTGCGCTATACAAGCCTATACCAGCGAGCAGCAAGACCGCTGAGGATGATCACACTTGCAATGACTCCCACAATGCCAAAGAACCATCCAAGTCCTTCAGCATGCTGCCCTGGCACCTCAACATTCATACCAAACAGACCGCAGATCAGGTTCATCGGGACAAGCATGGTCGCGATGAGGGTGACCTTGCTGAGGACTTTGTTGACATGGTTGCCTAAAACCAGGTTGGTGACGTTGAGTTGCGCGAGGTAATTGGTGTGCGAACGGCTGAGCATCTTTTCAAAATGGGCCAAGTTGGACATCATGGTCACGACGTGGTCCTGAATGTCACCCAGGTAGAGACCAATGTCTCCACGCGGAGTTACCGAATACTGCTCATTGCAGCGCTTAGAAAATCCTCGAATGACATCGGCCTTACCTCCCAGGAGGCGCATCAAGCTCATAACCTTCTTCCGCAGTCCACCGATGCGAGGCAAGAAGGACTCGAAATCATCGACTCGCGCAATGAACACGAGATCTTCAATTGCCTCGGACTCGACCTCAATCTCCCGAATTACAGGGCCAAAGCTATCCACAATGTCGTCACTAGAGTGATGTTAGATAAACATATATCAGATGTTGGTAGGGGGAGGGAGTAGAACTTACATCATGGCATAGCAAATCCAGTCGCTACTGAGGGACACGTAGTCACGAAGCCTCCCGATACGCTTTCGGACATTGGCAGAGTGAGGGTTTTCGGTGAAAGAGAAGGAGATAACGCCGTCACGAAACACCACCATGTAGAAGTTGACGGGCTCCATGAATTGGTCGTCCGTTTTGTCCATCTGATAAAATGTCCGGAAACACACGAAATAGTACTGCTTAAAAAGCTCAACCTTCTCACGGGCTTCCTGAGTCAAAATGTCCTCTGTTGTCAGCGGATGGATGGAGAATGCACGGGAGAGAGCATGGACTTCAGATTCGGTAGGATTGACAACATCTAGCCACCACACACCACCCTCGGGGCCTAGTTGGAAGAGATCACGGAAAGTGTCACCCGGAAGAACGAGGTCCCCCAGCTCCGCGGCGTGGACAGTACTCTGGGACTCAGACGAGAAAAAGCCGAAACGACTGGGCTCGTTTGCATTTTGAAGCTTCTCGACTAATTCGTTTTCATTCACGGGCTTCCCAGTAACCTTCTCGGCATCTTTGGCATCGAGTTCGAACGAAGAACGGCCAATGCTCAAAGAGGGCTTGCTCTCATCCTGTTTGGCGCCGGGGCGCAAGTCATGGAAGACACGCGGCTTCTTGCTCTGGGAACTCAGGCTGTGCTTGCGCCTGGTTTGCGCAGGCTTGGTCTTCTTGTTCAAAGCCACGAATTCCTCCAATTCCTCGTAATCAATGACAGGAATCCGTCCGGGTTGTTCATAGGTCGGAACGGGAACGCACGTGTCCTCAGTGGGATCCAGCTGGATATCGCCTGGTTGGGGTCGGACAGCACTCGCATTACTGAACGTCGGACGACGGGGGTGAGTGCCGCCAGACACAGTGCGCTGGAGAATAGCCTCCAGGTCCGGAGCCACATGGCTCTCTAGAGTGTTCGCACGCTCGCGGCGTCGCGGGTCGGCGAACGCTTCAACGGAATTAGGAGGGGAAGTTGACCGTGCAGAAACGGATGATTCTCGCGACATGTTCGCAATGTCCTGTTGTGTGCGGCTCCAAGCACGTCCGGGACGGAGGTTCCCCGCTGGGTCAACGGAAAAGCGCCGCCCAAGACCATCTTTGATTGACCGGTCGTCGTCCACGATTGCTTGCTCGAAATCCCGGGAAATAGATCCTCGCTCGCGGAACGCGTCTTGAATATGCAGTAGATCCGGACGCTGGGGAGTTGCCTCGGGGCCAACTCCCTGGGCGGTATTTTGTCTGCTCAACGCATGGTCCAGGCCGGGTTCGGCGTGCGGCGCAGCATCCAACTGGAACCGATGATCGTCCAATTCGGGGACCGGTGTGCTGAACCTTGTAAGGCACAAGTCCTTTTCGGATCTGGGTGACTCGGTCATTTTGCAGGTTCAATTGGTTTCCCCCTTTTTTGTCTTTCCTTTTCTTTTTTCCTTTGCTTTTTAAGTACTTTTTAGTCGTCTCTCCGCGAGGCGTGATATCGAGCCATTAATTGAGGATTTTCAGGTGATTTGCTTCGACCGACTTTCTTCTTTTTTTCTTTCTTTTTTCTTTTTCGTGTTTGTCTTGTCGTTCAAGGAATTGGGTTTGCCTTTCTTTCACGAGATGGGGTGAACAAGCACTATTCCTCCATCCATCAGCCAGACCCCTCGCAAGGGTCTGGCATCACCGACACAGGTCTGCCCGCCAAAGTAAGGTGCGCTGACGAGAACTCGTGTTAGGGGGGTCTAGTGTCGCCCCCAGAAAAGACCCGGAACTTGGGGCCTAGAAGAGGGTGAAGGGGAGTAGACTGGGAGGATTGAACGCCCGCCAACTTGGCTGAGTGGTGAGCAACGAAAAGCGGCTGCGCCGTAGTCGTTAATGAAAAGAAGAATCAACAGAAACCTCTTTCCGTATATTCTTCTCTATGACGTTAAATCGGGAAATTGTTCAGAACAAAGAGGGAAGAGATGAAATAGAAAAACAAACACAACAAAATAGAGATGGGAAGGCAGAACGAAATCAAAGCAAAAATGGCAACGAGTCAACTGAGTCGAGCGAATGGGTGGACGTTTTATAAAAACGTGAAAATCCAGGAGCGAAAACAGTAGTGGAAGTTGCTTCGGGGGAAAACAGACGAATCATGGGGTGGCAAAAAGTTTTTTTTTTTTTTTCTTTTTTTTTGCGCGGCCGCCGCAGCACTAAGGATTATTAGTGTTGTGGCAGAGAGAAATTAACAAAAAATAAAGAAAAATAAGAAAACATAACCTCACAGGTTATGTGACTTGTCTAAGGGGGAAAGAAAATAAGAGAAGCAGAATGGAAAGAGAGAAATATTTGGCTTATTTAAAACGCAACGGAGAGGGGCGGGCATCAAAGCAAGTCAGAGAGACCAGAAGCTCCATTCGAGGCAGACGCATAATAAAAAGAGAGAGAAATAGACCGGTGATGGCCCCGGCTCAATTTAGCCGCAAAACAAAAGCCCACCGGAATATCCGTTGGAGTATTCTCTCCATAGAGCACTACATAAATGATAGTACGTTCTGGACGGTCTGGACGTGGCATTACTACGCCCATGTGGTCGAATCTTGAAAAAGCAAAGTTTATTTAACAAGAAGATTTCGATGCCAGAACAGTGAAAAAAGGGCCGATCTGATTTGGTGTGGCTTGAGCCCACGGTTCATACCATAGTCCGTAAATGCCTTGGAATGTATGTAGGAAAGACCTAACATCTGTAATATGCACCGCATGAAACTGCCGGCTTGGCTCAAGACTATCACCGCCAGATCTCATGATAGTACTCTGTACTCTGTAAAGGGTATGGTATTTGCACATCCCACGGTTTGTCCGATGCGACCGGATTGCTGGTTGCAGGAAATATGGGACAATTGAACTTCAGATGACTTTTTCTTGCAGCCTTGAATTTGACGGCATATGGTTAGGTATCTGTGCATCTGTACGGATACTCTGTAGTATCTCTGTTCTATCATTTCTTACCGTGTCGTGGCTAATCCCCTTTCAGCAAGAGGGGATTGATGATGACCGCTCTACCGCCCGACGTCGGCCCTCGCGGGGGGGCGGCAGAAAAAAAAAGTAAGGGCAAAAGAGTCATTGGAGGATATGTCTGTTGTTGACTGACAAGAAAAGACGGTCAATTGCGGCTATTTCTTCTCCAGTCCTTGAATTATTGCCAGTTCTCTCCTTGATTCATTGAACCTTGGCCAACTCCAATCCGTTCCATTCTTCTTACCCACCCGCCATGGCCTCCTCTTTCGTTATCCGAACTCCCTGTTCATCAGCCAACATTGGACCTGGCTTCGATGTGATCGGTCTAGCCCTATCCCTCTACCTTGAGCTTCATGTTACCGTTGACTCATCCAAGTCATCCTCGCAGCAGCCCCTCAACTGTCTGATCACGTACGATGACCAGAGCAAAAGCACCGAGAAGATCAGCTTGGACCCCGAGGTGAATCTGATCACCCGTGTAGCGCTTTATGTGCTCAGATGCCACGACCAACGGGCCTTCCCTTGTGAGACTAGTGTTCATATCGCCAATCCCATTCCTCTGGGTCGGGGTCTGGGTTCGTCCGGTACTGCGGTGGTAGCCGGTGTAATGCTGGGAAATGAAGTTGGTCGTCTGGGTTTGAGCAAGGATAGACTACTTGACTACTGTTTAATGATTGGTGCGCGAAACGATACTACATTGACTAGTGCATTTGCTAATTCTTCCTTCCCATAGAGCGTCACCCGGACAATGTCGCCGCATCATTATTCGGTGGCTTCGTTGGAACTTACCTGAACGAACTCAAGCCCGAAGACGTTGCTCGGACAGAAATCCCTCTTAGTGAGGTTCTACCCGCGCCTGCCGGTGGAATCGATACCGGCAAACAGCCCCCAGAGCCCCCGCTGGGTATTGGTCATTACAGGAAGTTCCAATGGGCCAAGGAGATCAAGACGATTGCCATCATTCCGGACTTCGTGGTGCCCACTGCTAATGCACGGAATGTGCTTCCCACGTCATACTCTAGAGCCGATGTGGTAGGTCCTCTTACGCTGCTGACGGCGACTCAGAGTGCTCACTAATGCGAAAAAAAGGTCTTCAATCTGCAACGTGCTGCTCTGCTTCCCGCGGCATTGGGCAGCTCACCACCTGACCCCGATATGATCTATCTTGCCATGCAGGACAAGGTCCACCAACCATATCGCAAGACCCTCATCCCAGGACTGACGGAGGTTCTCCAGTCGATGAACCCAAGCACGCAACCTGGTCTCTTAGGTATTTGCTTATCGGGTGCAGGACCAACTATCCTTGCGTTGGCCACTGAGCGGTTCGAAGAGATTGCGGGCCGCATTATCTCTCAGTTCGAAGCCAACGACATCTCTTGCCAGTGGAAGCTGCTGCAACCTGCCCAAGAAGGCACCACGGTGAATTATTCTTAATGCAATCCGGGGGTTAATATAAATGGAATATACGGCGATTTTGTTGCATTGGAGGATGCCCTTTTTTCCATTAGAAAACATGCGGCACATGATACTGGTTGGGCTCCCATTGTTTCCGTTTATAGACGATGCTGGGAGGTGGAGGAAAAGTCGGTGAGACTTCTTTCTTGCCGGAAAGTTACATTGACGGACTCTATATCCGGCTTGATGTTTGTCTTGCATCTGCATCCCTCTTCCTTCCCTATGATTCGTGATTCGGTCCGAAAATGTTTGATGATTCAACATGAAAGCGATTGATTATTCAAAGATTGTTCATGGACTTGGTTATGAGTGAAATGGACATTATTCTACGAAAGTCCACCGTTTGATATTTTGCATATGGACTATATTTGTTATTCGTAGGAGTAATTCTTGTAAGGTAGTAATCGAGCGCCTTTCTATTACAACTATATTTTATTTTTCACTCTTATTCAGACTCAGATAGCCCAAATTGAATGTTAAATTAGAGTATAACATGATATTTTACTCTGTACTACCATGAGACAATAATGTCATCGTAGCCATCTCCAAATCAAGGCCTCAAGGCGGTAACAAGGCGCACTCCGTAGTGTCCGCTCCAATCGACTACCTAGACCACCATTATTACCCACGTCAAAAGACATACAGTCGACCTTTCGCATACGCTTTATATAAATAAAGCCAGCAAAACGACAGAAACGAGAATGGATGACATCCTCGCCCCGATCCAAGACCTCTTCGAAGGCCAGATTGTGAGAACCGCATCAGCCGAATCCCAGGCAACATTGCTAATCGATACTGGATAGGATTTTCAAGGTCAGCGCATCGCGGAGATACTGTCTACGGTTCTTTTGGTTATTTCAGGGGTTTGTTTTCCTTTCTTTCTTTCGCCGGATGGTTTTTAGGTTGCTTTGGGCATGAGCAAGGCTAACTATGTTTTGTTTGCTACTAGGTCATCGCAACGACCGTCGGATACGTTTACCAAGATATTCACCTCACGCTTTGGATTGGATTGGCTGGAACGCTTGTTACTGCTCTTGCGGTTATTCCCCCTTGGCCTTTCTACAATCAGAACCCCGAGAAATGGCTCGTCCCTGGGGCCGGGAGAGCGGCCGGCACAGGGATCATGGTAGATGGTGTTAAGGTTTCATAAAAGCAACATGGTTTTTTGTTTCGCGGTGGTGACTTCGATGATATATTGTAGCAATGCGTTTAATTGTTTTTTTTTTTCTTCTTTTTCTTTTTCTTTTATCTGAAACCCATCGCTGAAGCTCCGAAAGATCAATGCCGTAACGCCGTCCTAAGCCATTTCCTGCCCGATCGGGGGGCGCATTCTAGAGCATACATCTCTACGTGAGATTAACCGCCGAATGTCAAGTTCGTGAATGACGGTAGATGTTTGTATAACAAAACACCCAACATTGAATAGCTGTCGTTTATCGACCATACTTCTGGAATTCCCAGTCTCTGTTGTCCAAGGGGCAGACTTGACGAGTCTTCAACCAACGGGATATGCAGTGGAAATGAAAAGCGTGCTAGAATAAAAAACTCAGGTTAGCTCGGTTGACCGATAGCAAGTTGGTCGATAGCAAACAACAGTGCTCAACTTACGTTGCAAATTCCCCATGCAACTGTACACTCCTCATTTGTGGACGAGCCTTGGTTTGCTTGACACTCGATGCACAAATCCATAATATGGTTACGGCAAATAGCACAGTTGTCGACAACAATATCCCATGCCCAGAGAGCAACCGCATTCCACTAAACAAAGCTAGTAGTTAGCACCTGGCTTCAGTAGCTTGACCGATAAATCTGTGGTGTACCTTCTTGACCTCGAATCTCTTCTTTCCATCGTTGGCACCCTCGGACTTGGAAGTTCCCTTGCCCTTGGTCGCGGGCTCTGCGGCAGCTTCCTTCATCTCGACATCCGCCATTTTGCTGTTCTGGGTTCGTAGATATTAAGATCGGTCGCTCGGACGAAGTTAGGCGCTGGTCGCGTAGCTAGACTATTCCGGGGTGGTGTGAGACGCTGATTTTGAGGCGGTCGGAGCTGGAAGTAGCAGTTGTACACACAGGGTACCTAGATATTGCTACTGACGTAAGAGTGTGGGAGGGGCAGCTAGCAGTCTTTGGGCATACCTTTTGAAACACAAGAACCACTCGATTTGTCGCGCTATCACCAAAAAAACAACAAGCGCTGATCCGTGACCAAAAAGAACCTCTGTTGTTGTTTTTGTTGTTGTTGCCTCCAGTGGCGCTCAAATTGGAGAGAGAAAGCAACTCATAGGCAGAACCAACAGTCCAACAGTCAAACAAGACGGTTAGTCATCGCCGATCCCCGCTTAGGGTACCAACTTGAAGCCTGCTTTCACTCATCCCCATCCTTTCCTTTCCTTCTTTCTCCTCTTTCCTTTCTTCCTTTCCAGGAATGTTCCTTTTTATCAATTATTGATTGTTTACGGAGTCTATTCGGTTTCAGTCAGCAATGCTTTAATTTCCTCCTTTTCTTATCCTTCAGTACGTTCTTTTGTGACCTAGTTATGCACATCGTTTGGAGTTTTGATTTGGTCCACTCCTTGCACTTACTCTGATCCTAATACATATCTACACCACCTGCGACCGAACTTGACTATCGTCAATTTTCACCTCCGAATCGTTTCCTTCGATTAGCGCACTTTTTTTTTTTTAGCCTCTTTCGACCTGACTATTCTCCTCGCTGCTCTTATTCAATATCGACTGCTGGACAGTATCTCTTGATTCGTTACTGTCATATCTACGTCTCTTATCCTTATCGCTTTCTGTCCTCCTATCGCTTCTCATTTTTGACCCACAAAAACCATCGACTGCTTATTTTTCCCATCACCTTCCAAGCAACTCGTTGCCATGTCGGCTCAGACTCAATCGCCTACGCCTCCAACCCCCAAGGGGCCTCGGAATAACCGGCGCCATCCGAAGAAGACCACTACACCACACACCCAGAAAGCTACTTTGTTAACCACACCCCCATCATCGCCGCCCAGAAATCTAAGTCCTGGGGGAGCAGCAACCGACTCATCGACCAATGTTGATTTGTCCAAGAAGAAAAATCTACGATCTACAAAGAAACCGCCACGAGATGGGCCCAAGGGCTCTCCGTTCAACAATGGACATCGCCATACCTCTTCGCAAGGACCCACAAATACCCCGCAGGTGAAGGACAGCCCTCACTATGCAGGTCCGACATTCCACGCATCTCCAGCTCCCTCGGCCCTTCCCATGCCCAGTTTCTTTTCCAAGTCGATGCCCGAGTCAGACCTGGCACCCACAGTGGAGTCGGAAAATGAAGGCTTAGAGGGTGAACCGGATCTCGAGACCACACCTTCGAAACCAAAAGGTCGTCCCCAACCATCGAGCCAAGGAGAGCAGTCGACCCCGCTGGATTTCTTGTTCAAGGCGGCTGTGGAGGCGCGAAGTGCGCAAGCACAGCGTAGCCCAGAAACAAACCCCATGGTCCGTTCTCCCCAAACGGATTCGAAAGCTCTTCAACAACGTAATCCCAATGGCTTCGCCGGTGGGATGTTTCCCATGGAGATGGAGAATGTTGGATCGCCAAATTTCCAAATTGGACCTTCTTTTGCTACATCCTACAAGGACCGTATGGATGCACTACGCTCTGCGAGCTCCCCGTCCCAGTCCCCTCAATCGCTGGCGGAAGTTGATGAGGGCGAGCGAAAAGCAAAGACCGAAGCACTTAAGAGCTTGTTGCTGAATCCTCGACCCCAGCGTCCATCGTCTGCGTCTCCTCTCGCGTACACTCAAGCAAACGGCGTAAAAGAGCGTCCGAACCCTAGTCCGAATGTGCCTCATTTTGCGACTCCATCACGAACGATTTCGGGTCCACCAGCGACTGCTTCCCATGGCTTTTCAAATGAACAAAAGCAGCCGCCATACACGAATGGGATCCATTCCCCGCTTTCGTATGCCCGATTGGGTGGACCGCATCCATCCATCTTGAGGAAGGAAATCCCTACTTCGGCGGATATCACCAGCGAAGCTTTCCCTTTCCCTTCGCCGTACATGGGTTACAACCCACCTGATTTCCCACCCCGTTGTGCGCCACCGCCGCAGTACAGGTCTCCAGCACCCTACTCGACTGCATCGTCAGCAATACCGGCACATCCTTCTCCCCAAGTCCTTGATACTAAGAAGATGGAAGACGACTTGCGGAGGATTTTGAAGCTTGACGTTCATTCAAGCTTTCCAGCAAACGGCGTTCAGAGTTCATTTGCATGATTTAGCGAGCATGCCTTGCTTGGTCCAGCATTATTCGGGATCAGTATGCTCCTTTCCTGTTTTTATTCGGTTTTCTCTCGGACCGAACCGAGCCCATTTCTTGCGACTCGATTTCTTGAATTTGAATCTGCCATTTTTTCATGCAGCGAGCATACGCAAATGATTTTTTTCTCGTCTACCCTCGTGGTCGTTCATTGTTTCTCTGTTGTTTTGTCCCTTTTTGGTCATGACCTCCAGTGGTCACTGTCTCTCGTCTCGATCCTCTCTTGATGACATGATTTCCGATGTTCTTTTTGCCTATCATGGTTCATGGAAGAGATGGTTATTCTTGTACTTCGGGGTTTCTCGGTTCTTTCGCGGGGTTATTATTTCCTGATACCCCCTTTGGTTGCATCGAACCCGGAGTCTGGTGGTTCTTGATATTTTTTCCTGGGTGTGCTTTCCTTTCCGGAGTCTGTTGGTTGATGGTGGTTTGATGTCAGCAGCTACGGACCGCTGGTGATACTCGCGCTCTTTTTTATTGATACCATCTGGTACTGCTCTTATTCTCTTGTGTCCTTTTTTGAAGGACGGCCTGCTCGACAGGGCAAAGTCATTTTATTGCACTTTTCCGTTTTCCTTCGCTTAGTCTGTTATTCTTTCTTGTTGTATATGCTTGACAATGCGCGTCCAGCCGGGAGGTTTGATCATTTTGGATCGTGAAACTTCGAGTCTGGATCCACCATACATTTATGGGAGGGATGAAATTTTGATTTCCGCTTGGGATAGCCATGCTGACACGGTGTTGGCTGGTGTCTCTGGATGACCGAGTTTCTTTTCTGCTATGTTTATCAGCCAACTTTTTACATTCTTTCCAAATGAACAAACCAGTCACTCGTTTATTTCTTTTTCCTACGGACGTCCGATCATAGAATATGCGTAAGCGTTGACCTGCAAACAGAGAGTTCCTGAAGGAACGGTCCGGCGGTACGGAATATACCATCCAATTTTCACGATTCCTGCACTATGATAATACCGAGCTCAAGACCCCTTGTCTTTCTCCTTGCTTCACCTCTTCAGAACAGAAGATGATATCTTGATATAATCCATTGCCTTAGTATCCGCTGTCTCCGCTGGGCCGATTACTTGTGGAGTTGCTCTTCGGAGTAGTACAAAGCAAGGAGTAACTCGGTAACAATGGAAAAGCCACAAAACTTCGTGGCCTTTGATATTTATTTTCCCGTCGCAACGTCGCGGCTCAATAGCAGTCTCCAGTCAATTTTCAGAACAGAAATTACCGCGAGAAAAAGAAATAGAATAATACAATATAGATGAGGGACTAACCCCAGGAACTAAATAGGGCCCAGTGCTCTAGCTTCAGGTCGACGACACACAGTCATGGCTTTAGGGCTCGGTATGGATTTTTTTTTAAAAAAAAGAAAAAAAGAATCACGCTTCGAATGCTGTTGACCTATACATGTACGTCTTTACCATCGACCAATGCCGTTGTTACCTTATAAGGCTGAGACTATTCCTCACTAACCGGCTTTGGTTATTCGTTCTTCAGCTAGAAGCTACTCAATTCATACGGATCAAGAGGCCTGGGCGAGTTCACCGGTACTTACCACGAGATCCTTAGCCAGTCTTTTTTGCACCAGCCTAGTGAGAGGTTTAAGCATGGGTAAGCATCCTCACTCTGAACATCATTCAACAACCTGAAACCTTTTCTATGGCATCAGCATTGATTGGGGTGGCCTTCTGGTTGAGTGCCACTGGCGTCTCCCTGAACGACTACTTCCAGAAGAACATCTTCGCTTCTCTGAACATCAAAGAGCTAAGCATATTTCCAACCCCTGAGCTGCTCCTTAGGCTATGCTTTATGAACAAGTGCGCCTCAGACGA